GTATTTGTGAGCATATGACTTTAGTATATGAATTCAATTTAAATGTCATTGATTATTACTTGACATTGTGCTTGTGATTTGATTCCATTGTGTCTTATGCTCTTTGTGTGGATAGGTCTAAGGGTCTTAGAACCCAAGTTTATAGCTTAAGCTTATTACTTACTGGGCTGTGAGCTCATAAAATTCCCCCCCATTTCAGATCAGTAGATCGAGGTAGCAGCATCTCGATTTAGGAGCTTTTGGCACGGGACTCGCATGCTCGTTATATGTACAAGCTAGAGCCTCGTGTTTTCGATAAGGAGGCAGATCGATATCTTACCAAAACCATGACTCAGCTTTTGTTTTTGAAAAGCTTTGGAGAAGAAATTTGCCTCATATAATTTTTGTGTAAATTAGCTTTATGTATAAAACTTTTAAATTAATTATAAATGAACTTAACTTGGCTTATTTTACAACTTTGAATACTTTGACACTTTTTCAATATATATATATATCGACTTGTTAAAGTGGTTTTCCTTTACAGGTATTTATGATCTTCTTTTTCAAAAGTGTTTTTATTTCTGCTGCAAACTTTAATTATAAATTTTGTTTCCGAACTCTTCTAGGACTAAGGGTGCCTAGGGAGGTGTGTTACAGTTTCAACTTTCAACCGTATGTATCATCCGTGTGGTTTTTGGTTCTTACAACTGCTTTATGACAGGGATTATGACTTCATCTACCCCTACATTTAGTGTCAAAACTCTCAGACAGTTTCATGGGACAAGCTTGGTTAATTCAGTTGCTTTTGCATCGAGAAGAAGGTATTATGATTTATTGATCTACTGAAAATTTTGCTTCTCTTTTCCTAATTATGAATGCATACCTTTGTTGTTTAGTACAATGATTCATTGTTAATTTTTTAAGTATTAGTCACGATTCTGTCTAATCAAACAAAAAAAAAAAACCAAGAATCCTGCCGAAAAAAAAAAAAAAAAGGGTAGTCAGTCTTACATGGATGAAAGGGATCTTAAGTGTCTCATTGCCTTGCTTGGAATGCTATCATTCCAATTTTGAGTTCTTTCTCAATAGAATGGGTTGCTTTTTTGCCTATTATTTTCAAATGAGATGATAAAAATGCATTTGATAAGAAATACACAATAATTTGGTATTAAGGGCTTTATATTTTGGTATCTGTTGATTTATCTCTTATCCTTATAATTGAGCTGAAAAGAGCAAAATACTGTGGCCTTCCTCTTTTGTGAATCATTTGTGATTGGTGGTGTGAGTTTGATCTCTATTGTTTTGGTCTTCCCAAGAGGAGAATTGGGCATGCGTTGTATGGTTTCTGGATGGGTGAATTTAGGGATATTTGGAAACAAAGGATAGCTATATTCTGGTGGAAAGATTGGAATTTTGCAGTGTTTGTGGAACAACTATTATTACAGTGATCTTAATTGGTACACATTGTTCAGCTTTTGTATGTAGTTGATTTGCTTTGCTGTCTGTGTTTTTGGAATGAAGTCTGATTCTAAATATTTTTATTTCAAATCAAAGAGACTCCAACGGGGATGTAGATAGGCTTTCTCTTCGTATCTCCTTTAATCAAACCTCTTAATTCATATGTATTATTTTCAAGTGGTTAGGAACTATTTAATTTAGTTTATTATTATGCTTTATATATTCAGAAAATGAGACATCATTAAGGATATATTGGCCAGGAACAAGATAACATATTCTTTAGCTTCTATTTATTTCTTCTTTTATCTTTATTTTGGATTTGACCATTTTATCTTTCTTAATCATCTTCTTTGTGTATATGTGTTCATGGCTACTTTCTTAATTCAAAGAGCTGAAGTTTTGGATTTTGAAGATTTTGGGTCTGTCTGGGATTTTGTTTTATGTGGGAGCTTGAACTTGATTGATTCAAGCTCTTTTGTATCTGATCTTGGTGCGAATTGTTCTAGTAAGACTTGCAATTCTATGTTTTTTGGTCTCTTTATCTCTGATCACTTTTTTGGGAGTTTTAGGGTTTATTTTGGTAGTACATACTAACAGTTTGATTAAATGTCAGTATGAGATCTGCTAAAAGGGAGAGTGCTTTGAATTTTACACATTTCCTTTTATTGCTTTATAGGTCAATTAGATCAACTTCTCTGATCCTCTTCTCAACATACTAGCTTTCTATTTTCAATGCTCTACAAATCTTTGTTGGTTTCATTTATAAAGTGTATAATTATGTGATGAGAAACGTGATCTTGGTTTTTTTTTTTTTTTT